CATTGAAGTTTTTTTTCTTGGTGTCTGCTTAAAGTCAGATCATTCTAACATCTTTGCATTTACATTGTGATATCTCCATAACAATATCTATTAAGTATGATATTTCATTTGGTCTGATATCTTCCTGACTCTTGGTATAATGAGTGATTTTTCAATTCAAATCTGGGTATATGTTTTTCATTATATTACCAATCTCTGGATTTTATTCAAACCTTTTGTTTTAGGTAGGTTTCTCTGATACTTTATCCAGTGGAGACAGATGTCTAGTTTTCCCTTTTCAAATTCATTAACATCTGAGCAAAAGCTCTTAAGTATTGCTCAGTGGAGATGGAAGTTACAACTCTGAACAATGTTTCCACTGATGATAGTGAAAGTCCCCATTCCCATTCCATCAGCCTTACCCTGATGGAAAGGTAGGAGCTGTCTCATTGCTGCTAAGAGGTATAGGAAGCCTGAGAGCCCCATGTAGTCTCCACTAGTACCACTGGGATAAGGCTTATTACTAGTCATTGGGGATGAGATATCTTCAGCCCTTTATAAACGTGGCCTTTCTTAATAACCCTTCAGCAGCAACATTGGTTGACTTTGTTATGCCCGCATGTAGGTAGAAATCTAGGCTTCCCATTAGGCCTTTGATGGCATTATTACATTTGAGCTGTAGTTATTTCTATGGTGTTCACTATAGTAGGGAAGTGACTATCTAAAAGTATTTTGTGCACTAGGCTTTTCTTTTGGCCAGAAAGGGAGCTAGTTTTTGCTTGACATTGCTTGATACCTGTTGACAGTCACAGATTTCCTCATTCTTCAACTCGGTGTCTGGCTCTATATCTACAGGTTGTGACTTGGTCTCTAGGTGTCTTTTGTTATATTTGCTCAGAATCTTGATATACTAGTTTATATACAATACCCAAAGATTGTCAGTAAATTTAAGGAAAGGAATCGGTGATAGTACACATATTCTATCTACATGAAAGCAAGTCTTCCTGGCTCACTTTTCAAAACATAGCCTACATTAAAAGGGGAATTTTAGAATATGTGGCATGAATAAAAATGATACGTCTGGGTTTCTGTAATGGCTGTTTAACAAAATTGCAAAACCATATTTTTAATGAGTTAGTCAGTTATCTTTTGGAGATGATTCTGTATTGTTGTGCTTGGTTCAGAACATTTTGAGACTTCTTTTGGGCTTTTAGGTAGTAATTTTTAGTTTAGTGAATCATATCCTTTTGAACATTCTTAGTAGTATAAATCCTTTGAGACTATATTTTTTAAAGTAAGCCCTATGGGTTCAAGAACCAAGATGGGAAGTAAAACAAATGACCAAATTGGGAAATGCAATATCCTGCTTAGTCTAACACTCCTGGTTAAAAGAACAGTGTGAACCAAAGCATTATTGAAGTGATAGAGTCATTCTTTCATGTTATACAAAACCTCCCAAACACTTAACAATTTCCCATAATAAGACTGATTAGCTGTGGGATGAATTTTACTTGAACAATACCATTCAGTATCAACTCAACATTTCTTTCTACTAATTATAGCATAAATACTTCCATGTGTCCTATGAGTATTGAAGCTTTTCACTGGAAATTTCATAGTTTATTTGGGGCCAACAATTCCATCACTATTCTCCTGAAATACATGTTGTTTGGCCCAACATCCCCGTGAAGGCTTCTAACAAATGTCAAAGTTTTTCTATTTCTTTTTATCATTCAAAATGTGTAGCACAGCCCTAACAGAAACCTTTGTGTCCAAATTCCCCTCAGTGTGAGTCAGTGTTCATATAGCTAACCTCTGCTTAAATAAATCCAGACTCTGACATTTTCATCAGCCCTTTGTGCTCCATCAAACACATCTCTATTACCTTCTCTCAGTCTTTGTGCCACTAAAACAAGAAGTGTTCTCTACAGACCTCCTGCACCATAACTGTCCCTCCAGATGTTTTGTCATTTATGTTTGTTTAACTTTACATAATATTGGGTGTTAATTTTTTGCTTTGTACAGCTGTCATTCACTATCACCATTTAACACAGCCTATCACCCAAGAGAATAAAAGTGCTGCCATTGCAAACAAAATCACTTTACAGCAGGATCCCCACCATGCCTCCTTTTTGTTTTGCCAATCCATCTGAGAACACAATTGCTTTCTGTCGATTTGTAGTAATTGAAAGCCTACTAAAGACAAAAGCCTCGTCTTTTTTGTTTAACTCTTAAGTTTGAAGCCACCTGCATAGCATCTAAAATAGCTAATAAATCTAATTAACCAAGTAGGAAATAGCCTTTTGACAAATTCAAGAGCTGCTAAAACAACTGAATACATCCTCTCAACAATATCATCCTTTTGTTCCTCTGCATGGCTTTTTTTTTCTTGTTCTCGGTCATGAGGAGCTGTCCCTGAGTTTTTACACTCAACACTAGCTAGTGTTTTACTACTCTGGACCACTGCACCACTTCTAATGGTTAATTGGAGATGAGAGTCTCACAGACCTTGCTGCCTGAGCTGTGTTAAACCACAGTTCTCAGTTCTCAGCTCCCTGAGATGCTAGGATTACAGGCATGAGCCACCGGCACCAGGTCCACATGATTGTTTTTAATTTACAGTTAAACTATTTTTAGTAGGATGCCAACTTGGAGAAAGAGGGCAGCAGTATAATGCCATGTTTAAAGGCATGACCTTTGATAGCCATGATTCAATGCTGGTCATGATGGTTTACGAGTTGTACAAATTTGTAGGAAAACTGACTTCACCTTTCTGAGCCTTAAATTTCCTTCTTAGCAAAACTGGACAAGACAGTAAAGGTAACTGTTATAGTAACAATGTCTTGTGAAGATTAATGGAGAAGGTATGTGAAAGACACTTTGATTCAATTTTTTTGCTCCAAGTGTTTGTGTGGCATGAGTTATTTATTAAACATAGTTACCATGCCAGTTAGAAAAACAGCACATAGCACCTGGTGCTTCCCGTAAAAGAATCCAAAGTCCACATTGAGCTCAGATTTTCTCATGAAGAGAAAACTAGTCGGTCGGAAGGCTATTACAGTTCTTTAATCAAGAGTACTAGGTTTCCACTGTTGGACAGACTGTTAACAGATTATTCGACAAAGTAATCTTTAAGCAGTCACTATTGACTTCCTCATGTAGATAATAAATTAAGGAGCCAAACTATGGGGGCTTTTTTAATGATTAAGTACTTGTACTTATAGGTTACAATTCCATAAGCCAGGATATGAGTACAATGCGTCTTGATCACTGTCATCTTTTTCACCATCTTCACAACAGTTTTGACTTCCTTCTAAGTTTATTTGGTGCAAAATGTCTTGATGATGTTTTGCTCTTTCTCCCTTTCTCTTCTCCAAGCACTGAAGACCCATGACTTCTATGTTAGTGGGTATGAAGAATAGATTTAAGTGTGAAAGACAGACTCTACTCCCAGCTTCTCTAACTGCAGTTGGAACCACACACAGAATGAGTCCATTCAGAATATAGCAGTTCAAAATATGATAATAGCATTATATTGTTTTATATTAAATATCATACAGGCTTTACCAACCATAAAAACTTAGAATTCAATGGAAGCACAAAAGAATAAATTTGTACTAAACACTTTACTACAATGGTGCTCAATCTTCTAGATGGCTGAAAAGTTAGAATGTGCTCTTTCATGCAGATTTCTAAGAATGCATACAGTAGACATATAGACCATTTCCCTTTGTGAGATTATCTTAATTGTATATATAAGGTTATTATTTTGTGATCTCTGTGTGTGTTAAACAGTGTTGGGTAGGTAATTGATCTTACATTGTACTGAAACATTTCGCAACTTGTCCTTCAGTTTCTCATAAAGTTGTAATGTTGTGAATGTAAAAATATATATATATAATACCAAAACAGCTGATTGAACATCTACATTCCAATCAAATTGTTTCTTTTACCCTGCATATTGCCAAATAGCAAAATTGAATATTTTCTTTTTAAATTGCCTCTTGCTTAAAATCCAACAATATACTTTCCCACTTTAAATGGGTTTCACTGTAGTTATCACTGTAGCTTATCACCACATTATCACTGTAGTTTCTTTCTTGTGTGCACGTGTTGCTCTTTAAGAACTGTAAAATAGCCGGGCACTGGTGGCTCACACCTGTAAGCCTAGCCACTCAGGAGGCTAAGACCTGAGCATCAGGATTCAAAGCCAGCCTAGGCAGGAAAGTCCATGAGACTCTTATCTCCAACTAACCACCAGAAAACCACTTGAGTGATGTGGCTCAAGTGGCAAAGCACTTGCCTTGAGCTGAAGAGCTCAGGGACAGCATATAGGCCCAGAGTTCAAGCCCCATGACCAACCAAAAACAAAAAACACTTTTAAAATAAAGAAGTGTGCATAGCTTATTTTAAGACCTTTCCATATCTAATGCCTCCATAAACTACAGATAGTCCTATGAACTTACCACATGATTAACTTTTAGGGTAACTTAGAATTTCCAAAAGACATAATCTTGACTTAATACTATAACAAATTAATAAGTGTTGACTATAAATGCCAGAACAAGCTTCCTATACACCTTTATCATAAAACTTAGGGAATCTAATTATTTTTTTCAGAATTATGAAACAGGTTTATCATTTCCCTTCATGTTAAAATATATTACATATCTCCATTTCTAAAAACTAAAATAAAATTGCCAGCTGTAGCTCCCTTTATTTTTAATTATGGCTTCTTTTGCTTCTTGATATCTTTCAGGTTCCCTTAAAATAAGAATTGAAATAAGTTTTGTCAAGCCACTATTTGGCCATGAATATATTTAATACAAACTTGCCCCAATGTTTACATTTTCCCACACCCAAGTAGGCATGCCCTTACTGTTTCTTCATTATCCTTTCCAGCTGTGGCTAACAGAACAACCATTCTTCTCTACGGAGAAGGTATTCCATGCATGTGTTCTTCTTTAATCATATCTTTCCCGAACCAGGACCGTCTGCCTGACAGATTATCTTTCCCACAGGCAGGCAGCCACATCCAGACTTTGATGGGGTCGCAAAGCCTTCAGCATCGCAGCCGGGAGCAGCAGCCATATGAGGGAAACATAAACAAAGTGACCATCCAGCAATTTCAGTCACCATTGCCTATTCAGATCCCCTCTTCACAGGCCACCCGGGGACCTCAGCCTGGACGGTGCTTAATTCAAACTAAAGGGCAAAGGAGTATGGATGGCTATCCAGAGCAGGTGAGAAGAGAATTTATAACTGATTCATTTTGAGGAAAAAAGACTTGGTTGGCCTCTCTTTTTGTTCTTTCTTTCCTTCTTCCTTCCTTCTTTTTTTTTTTTTTTTTTTTTGTGCTGGTACTAGGGCTTGAACTCAGGGCCTGGGTGCTGTCCCTGAGCTTTTTTGCTCAAGGCTAGAGTTCTAGCCACAGCTCCACTTCTGTCCTGTTGGTCTCTAATTGTAAATAAGAGTCTCATGGACTTTCCTGCCTGGGCTGGCCTCCAACTAGGATCCTCAGACCTCAGCCTCCTGAGTAGCTGTGATTTCAGGCATGAGCCACCAGTGTCCTTCTGCGTTCAATTATAAATGTGGTTGAGGACACATCATGCTGGCAGCCTGTTGAATGGGGTGAAATAAGTTCTATAGGGATTTTATCATTATGTGCAGTGGATAGAGCTGTCACATATAAACATTTGTGATTGAAGCTAGACACCAGTGACTCATACCTGTAATCCTAGCTACTCAGCAGGCTGAGATCTAAAGATCACGCAGACAAAGCCAGCCCTGGCTGGCTTTAGAAATAGCGCAAAATAAAGTAAAGCTGCTTCTCTTTTGGCATCCGTAAAAGTAGGATATGTTTTTCTATTGTAGAATGTTTTGCTTCCTTAGCACCAGAAAACAGAAGGGAATGGTAACTATTGAGTTACATTAAGATCGGGAAGTAAGACTTAAGGATCTTAATACTCAGTATAAAATTTAATTTCTCTTAGTTTATTCTTCAGATGATTACACAAAGCACTCGCTGACTGCTAATTCCTTAATATGGTTTATAAAGGCTTCACTTTATTGCTGCTTACTCAAAGCTTTACATGCTAACCGCCTTATTTTCTAAATATATCAGTCAAGATTAACTTCATTCTCCAGAGTTTTTGTCTTTATATTTATCATTGGCTCCAGCTGCTTTAAACATTGTTTCTATTTCTTACCACCCATCTGGAAATTGAAATGATGTATTACCATTCTCAGCATCATAGGTACGTCTTTCAAAATAATTCTCTTCCTTTCCTCCCTTGATCTAGGCCAACTGTTTGATTTAATGCATAATAAGCCAGGCAGGTTCCTTTAATCAGATAATGATGGGTAAGGTTTGACATTCTCCAGAGCTTCTAACTATTAATAAACCTTTGAGTTATGCTTCACTAAAGGAGAGTGAAATGTTGCTTATATCCACTGCCCCTTAGAAATTCAGGACCTTAGCCCAGTTCTCTGGTTCAGTCATTCTCCTCTGTAACTTTAGAGGGTTCTTTTTTCTCCCCTAGAATCAATATATTTAAAAATCTACTGAGATCAAAACCCTCTTTAACCTACTTTGAATTATAAAGTTATTACTACCATGTAGCTAATCTAAATAAACAAACACATAATTTCATAAAATATGAATAATACAAAGATTACTAAATTTAACATTTCCATGTCAATTCAGATTTATTCTTTCAGAGAATGTATTTACAGTCAGCAGCTTTCCAGTGTTTTTATTTATAGCTCTGAATCTCAAACTAAGAGAGAAAAAGGTAAGCATTAGGGCTATATTAAGGGAGAACATAGTGATATATGTAGAATAAGTAGCTGCCAAAGCAAAACTGAGAGAGAGGCATGTCATTGCATGCTTTATTCACATCTCTCAAAACCCTTTTATGAATTAACTGGTTTTAATTGATAAATCTGTGATCCATATAAATCAGTTTCTAATTTACTAAGAAACTATGGCTTAGAGGGGCTGGGAAGGTGGCTCAGTGGTAGAGTGCTTGCCTTGCAAGCCAGAGGCCCTGGGTTCGATTCCTCAGCACCACATAAGCAAAAAGCCAGAAGTGGCGCTGTGGCTCAAGTGGTAGAGTGCTAGCCTTGAGCTGAAGAGCTGAGGGACAGCGCCCAGGCCCAGAGTTCAGGCCTCACGACCAGACCCAAAAAAAAAAAAAGAAAGAAACTATGGCTTAGAGAAGTTAAGTATATTGGCTGTTGTCATACAATTCAAAAGCTGAGCAAGAATTAAAACTAGTCTCATGGGTCTACCACATTACAAATCACATACCTGCTACACTGCATCCTTACACAGTTCAAGAGTTAAGTTCACACTGTCACAATAAATCAATAGGAAACTACATCCTCCAGCTGATGCATTCTAACATGTGACTGTCTCACAACTTATAAAGTTAATGTATAAAATTAATTGTGTTGAGTTGCACATTATTTGTGTCCAGTCATGAGTCATAAATTCATAACTGCAGCATTATTTTGGTGACTGGAGAAGGAAGTTGTATGGGGAAAATATTTATAACTACATATACTTTAAGAGGTACAGGATGAAATATGGGGTATTCATGAAATCAGTAAATAACAGACATTCAAGCCATTTAATACCTACTTTTGAACTGTTATGAATTATCAATTAATTTTTAAACTCTATATTTTGATAGTATGCATTGTTTCTATATATTATTGGGTTCAGTGTGTTATATCAACACACATGGTATTGACTGCTGTAATAGAGACTCCCTTTATCTACTCGTCCAAATTCTTAACCTGTGGTATGACTGTCTGCATTCGATTTATTTTCTTCCAGTTTCCATATATGAAAGTCCTGATGTCTAGTTTATTATATTTAACATTATATCCTCTCATTCCATGAATTTTGCTGTACATAACAGAATTTCACCCTTTAAGGTTGAATAATATTCTATTGTTGATCTATACTACATTATCCATTCATCCACTGATAGGCACCTATTCAGGATTTCATGTCTCCTGTATTGTGAATAGTGATGTTTATAAAGATGAACACAGGAATCTCTTTGGGTCTTTCTTCATGCTAGAAAGACAGCTCCAAGAGCTCCAGAATTTGTCAGATTTCAAAAAAGTAAATAAAAGCAGGACTGCATTTCCTGGAATCCCTGGAGATCATTGTATTATGCTTTTTTGATTTGGTTACTTACCAATTCTATTTTTTTAATCACATTTTTAGGAAATATAGTCCTTTGTTTCAGATCTAGATAACGTGCTATCTAAATGATATCACCTATATATCACCTACATAGCATCTAGATAGCATAGTGGCTCAGGATTGGAGAGTGGGTAGTACTTCCGATAAAAATTAAAGTCAAGTAACTAAAAGAACAATAAATAGATCTGAAGCAATAAAAGCAAATAGCCACTAAAAGTTTTGTAATAGAGACTGCTGAGAAACAGGATGATCAATAGGCAGCCAATTCATTATGGCATCACTGTATGTTTCTGTAGTGTTACCCCTTAAGTATAAATATATAAATTACACCTCCCAACACACACACACACACACACACAAACACACACACACACACACACACACACACACACACACACACACACTTTCTTTATTCCTGGTGCTTTTTTAAATCATTGTAGGACCAAATCAGAACACTACCTTCTAAGGATCATAGATCATGACCTCACAGGGCCTCACTAGGACATCATAGTCTATTTGCCATGAAGTTCTCCTTTAAACAAGTCCAATTATTTTAATTAAAATAAGATAAGCACATCCCAGAAATCTCAAGTACAGCAAAATGATGGATATTGACTCTGAGAGGAACTAATGCACTGCTGGTGCTCATTCATTACTTTTATGTTTTTAGCCAGAAAGGTATTCATCATAATCATCTTTTGAAAAAATAAAAATAATGATTACAATAAAGTTAGCTATTTTTTAGACTCCTAAACTTGGCCTTTAGCTCAGACACTACATTTCCCCTTTGCTAATCTTTTGTTTCATGCTATAGTCTCTTCCATTTTATGATCTCTTTGGGTCTTAGCGGGCAGGTGGAACTCCTTATGTGTGAGATGAATACTCCCTCTGACATGCTTTACAAGACCCAGTAGCCACAATGAAAGCTATTAGATATACCTTAGCATGCCCAAAAGCAGTCTAGCTTCAGATCAGAATTTATGTGTGTTTATCACATGTATAAAACTACGGTGTCATCTCTATCATTTCTGTTATTAAAAAATATATATTGAGACAGTTTGTCAAATATGTTTGGCACATGTGAAATTTGTTTCCTTGGACTTTAGTGCCTTACAGATTTATAATCGTATAAAATAGATGTAGTCCCTACCTTTAAAAAAAATGACTGAAAACAACTCCCAGCAATTTTCTGTGTAAGTGAAATCTTCTGCATTTGGTTCCTTTCAGATTGTAGAGTAGCCTAGAGAAAGCTAGAAATTGTAGACACTTTCTGTGTTGCATAAGAGGAAATTTTCTCATTGGGAAGATAAAACCCAAGATTGAAATAATTTATTTCCAAATGCATATGTGGGCAACCACAAAAGAAAGCATAATTATAATAGTTACTTTTTTCTTACACTTAACTAACAAAAAGTATTCAAAAGATTAATACATTGAATAAGGCTAAAATACTCCCTCCAGAAAAAATGAACGATTTTAAGCTCTTACCCATAGATTGTGGACTATCTAAGTATAACTATTATAAGCTGTAATTTCTTTTTTTTCTTTTTTTTAATTGTGAGAATACCGTACAGAGGAGTTACAATTACATGGGCAAGATAACAAGTACATTTCTTATCAAGCATTGTTACCTCCTCTTTGTTTCCCCTTCCCATACTCCCTCCTCCCCCCCACCAAAGTTGTAAATGATGTTGGTATAATTTATGGAGGGGAAGGGCAAAAACAAATCATTTAACTAGGGATACAGGTGGACTCATTGCATGAATGAGATGTGCAAGTCGTTATGTCGAAAAATGAACTTCAATTTCTACCATTCTATGATATAGCACAAATGCCTTAATTGAAAGGAAAGCTATAGATAAATATATCTTTAGCATAAAAAGATAGAAAGTATTTTGATAATTACATTTACCCATAGTTTAGAAACTACTCATTGAAATGGCTATTACTATTTTTTAAAACTACTATATAAATCACATTAGTGAATAAATTTTCAATATTATACATACTAATTATAGGTATAAATATGCAATGTATACATTTATAATCTATAAATATATGAGATATATATTACATGCAGAGCCAGCAGTGTTCCATCAGCCCACACAGGCCCCACTTCCCCTCCCCCAGCTCAAGATCACCAAGAATTCTTGTTTGTTATCATTGCTTTAGGTAATCCATAGTACTACTTTTCCTTCTAAATACTTGATTTCTACTTTGTGTTAGACTTCACAACTGACAGCACTTTTACTACAGCCTCACCCTAAGGTGGACCAACTCCTCATGCTGTCACACCCTGTAGTCCTACCAAACCCAAGGCTCCTGTGTTCATGTACTTTTCTTGATCTGAAGTATTGGGAAGTAATATAACAGAGGACATTAGATAGCAGCCTTCACTGTTTATTTGACATTCCTTGTCACAACATCTCCACATTCTTGACCTTTTTCTTCCACCTTTTCATGTTCTCCCTTTCTTTTTGGATCCCTAACTTCCGTTATAGAGCTGCTATCACTCTCAAAACTCTGCTCAGAGGCAGCTTCATTCTCCCTGTATTTCACCCTCACTCCAGCTCCCTAAGAACCCTAATGTTCCTAAATACTATCACCACTGAATGTGGAAGTGAATTGTACCATCCTTCTAGAAAGCAGAGCAACTTATTTAAGCACCTGACTTAAGTACCTTATTTAACTTTTTCCTACTTATTCATTTAGTCCTATCTAACTAGTCAGAGTGGAGTGGAATCTTGGCTCAAGTGGTAGAATGCAAGCTTTGAATGAGGAGTGAAAGCACAATGCCCTGAGTTCAAGCCTAAGTACCAGCACAAAATTAATAATAGTAATGAGGAGGTAACAATGCTGGATAGGAAATGTGCTCCTTACCTTACTCATGTCACTATAACCCCTCGGTACAGTATTTCTACAATAAAAATTAATAATAGTAATAATAATAATGTCTGAATACAGTGAATTTATAGTAAGATTGGATAATACATAATCTTTTAACTCTTCATAAGACATTGTTTTGAAAACCTGGTAGTCATAAGCTAGTTCTGTATATGATAACAAGTAAGTCCCTCCCTAATAACTGCCTGCCTGAGATATTTAAACCTAGTTTCCATCGTAAGTGGTGCATATAGAAACACTGAATGCTGTGTTAGGGTTTATTGTATCTTCTATATCCCAGGTCAACATTGGTTCCCCCTAAAAACTTGAATTTGAACATTTCACTGAGATGGACTAACTTGAAAGCATTTACCTTCGATTCCCATTTGATTAAATTTTTCTATTTTTTTTACATAGTTTTGTGTGAGAATAGAAAAGAATCCTGGTCTTGGATTTAGTATCAGTGGTGGAATTAGTGGACAAGGAAATCCATTCAAACCTTCTGACAAGGTAAGAAAAGTATTTCTTTTTTTTTTTTTTGTCTTTTCTTTTTTGGTACTGGGGATCGAACCCAGGACGTTGCACTTGCTAGGCAAGCGCTTTGCCACTGAGCTACATCCCAGCCCAGAAAAGTATTTCTTATTGGAAATTTTAGTTATATAAAATGCTGATTTCTACTGTTATATAATGGAGAAAAGTATGTTAAATATTATGTTATTGTGATTTAATGACCCATGTAACACCAATTAAAACTTTACCCAGGGAAGGTAAGAATTCACTATAATGCTTGAAAAATTCTAAGAGTAAGAAAACACACACATTTATACACATATACATCCTCTCAAGCTTTCTTGAAGTCTACTTAAAGCCAAATGTTTTTGGTGGTATTTTGTAAATTATTTTTAGGGAAGAAGTACTTTTTGGGTTTGGTTTTACTTTTTCTTTTTTCTTTTTTTGTCGGTCATGGGGCTTGAACTCTGGGCCTGAGCACTGTCCCTCAGCCCTTCAGCTCAAGGCTAGCGCTCTACCAGCTGAGCTACAGCGCCTCTTCCTGGTTTTACTTTTTGACTTTACACTTGTATATATTGTACAGGAAGGAAGCTACATAGGCAATTTACAATTAATTTTTGTCAAGGGATTATTTCTAAATCACTTATTACTGAAGGAAACTCTTTTCTCACAGTGACACAGTGATTATGTTGTAATTCAGTGCTAGGGCAAGCTGACTAACATCTCTTCAACCCACCAGGCTTCTAAAGAATTTTATTAATAGAAATACAGTACTGAAAAGCCACAGAAAGCAAATTTGTATGAGGAAAGGAACTGTATTAGCCGAACAAGCTATTCATTTTATCCCTGCTTGTCAAACCATGGGAAAAGTTGAAAGCTACCCCCCCGCCACTCAACCCTGGCCATTGTCTAGACACTCAACTTGCCACCCTGTTCACATGTGGTCTGCCAATTCCATGTCAACCTTTAATAATTTTTACATTGGAAAAAATAAAATTTACCCTGAGCTGCATAACCTGCCCTGGTACCATCAAGTGTTTAATATTTTCAGCTTTGAATCAATTAGTAATTATAACTTGATGATAATTGAAATGCTCTACTTTTGACCCCACCAAACTTAATTGCTTTAAGTGGCATCTTAAACTTCTGAGAAAATGAAGGAAAAGAAAAATCACATTTGAATAAATCTCCACAAGGTCTTGCTTTACCTTTAAGTGACAACCTGGTCCAGACCCTTTCAACCTTCTACTAATATAAAAGTAACACATTAATCCATTTCTGGTCATGAAATATGCTTCTGAAATATCTTGAAGGTTCCTATTATAAAGACTTGTGAAACTTGAGAGACTTTAATAAAACATTTTCTTAGACTTCTTTCTACTCTTTTTTTCTTTTTTTTTTTCTTTTTTTTTTGCCGGTCATGGGTCTTGAACTCTGGGCCTGGACGCTGTCCCTTAGCACTTCAACTCAAGGCGAGAGCTCTACCACTTGAACCACAGCGCCACATCCGGTTTTTCTAGTGGTTTATTGGAAATAAGAGTCTCTTGGTCTTTCCTGCCCAAGCTGGCTTTGAACCGCAATCCTCAGATCTCAGCTTCCTGAGTAGCTAGGATTACAGGCGTGAGCCACTGGCTCATTTTTTATATCCTCCCTGTTTTAGCGGGGGATGGGGGGGAGGGAGAGGGTAATAATCAAAATGGGAAATGTTACGCTATAATATTAATTGGGAAGAAAGGAACAAGATGAAGATCTCCAGCAATCATAGATGTGGGCTCTTTTGGTCAATAGACTGGAGCAGCTGTTCCTATATAAGAACTGTGCATGACACAGCCCTGAATAATTAGGGGAATACCATTTATAAACATTTGTACATCTATTTCATTCACATTTGAAATGATGTTGAGAATAAGCATGGGTTTATCAGAATTAAAATAATTGATGGTTAAATTGACTAACTATTTAATTTTTTTTGGCTGGTTTTGGCACTTGAACTCAGGACCTTAGTGCTGTTCCTGAGCTTTTGTTCTGAAGGCTAGCACTCTACTACTTGTGCATTTTGTAGTTAATTGAAGATAAAAGTCTCATGGTCTTCTCTATCTGGGCTGTCTTTGAATGGCAATTCTCAGATCTCAGCCTCCTGAGTAGCTAGGATTACAGACATGAGTCATGGGGGACAAGCTTACTTGCTTAATTTTAATAAATTATTCATAGACCCAAGACAAAAAATATTAAAGTTCAAAATTATCAGAAATAGGCTGATGATCATGACTCAAGTGCTAGAGCACCTGCCTAGCAAATGTGTTCAAATCCTAGTATTGCCAAATAAAAAATTATCAGAAACATGTGATACTTTTTTTTTGGGGGGGGGGGTCCTGTTATGGGGCTGAACTCTGGGCCTGGGCACTGTCCCTCAAATCTTCAGCTCAATGCTAGCGCTCTACCACTTGAGCTACAGCACCACTTCTGGCTTTTTTTCTTTTTGCTTATGTGGTGCTGAGGAATCAAACCCAGGGCCTCATGCATGCAAGGCAAGCACTCTACCACTGAGCCACCTTCCCAGTTCCATATGTGATACTTTTTAAACCTCCAAGTCAAAATATTTCATTTATCTTGACTTCTGTTTGGGGCTCTGGTTTTACAGGCCTCCTATAAATTCTTTCAAAGGAAAACTAAGTAACCTGATCACTTTAAAGATGATTGAAATTCAAGAAACATGTTTCTCTCTCCTTTGTCACCAGCATATAAATTTTCCCTCTGTTTTAGGAAGCGATAATATTTTTAAATTAAAGATTAAGAAATTGCTGAATAGTTGAATGCAATACAGCTGTATTTCTTCTATTTTGAACTGCTATTCTGAGGTTTTCAAATCACTGTGTATTATCCTTCCACTATGATCAATATGAGCACTTTAAAATATGAACTTAGGAAATGGCAATGTGGCTCAGGTGGTAGAGCGCTTGCCTTGAGCACAAAGAGGCTTGGGGACAGTTCCCTGACTCTGAGTTCAAGCCCTACAACCAACAAAAATAAATAAATAAAACATGAATTTAATTTTTCATTGGTCATTTGGATGACTATTGATACTAAACTGTGCATGTGATTTTATTATTTGATTTTTTGTTTAAATTTAATACATATAGAACTGAGGTATATCATGTCTCCACTAAAAGATTTAATTGAGTATAGTCAAAACCACTTCATGGCATAAAAATGATTCTCTATTTTCAAAATTGATTCCAAATCTACAGAACAATCTCAATATTATTTACCTTATGACACACGTTAGATACTTAGTTAACAGTGTTCGAAGCATCTCAAGACATTGGCTTTGACAATTTAGATAAGAATTTAGCCTGTTCACAAGGAAACAGATTAAGGTCTTAGAAATCCACTTTTGTTTCTCTAGCCCTAGTGTCTCATTCTTTTAATGATTAAATAAACTTAGAGTAAAAAGCAGTGCCTACACCTACCTTTACTTATCTCCCAAACATCGGGATGTCTTGGAGGCATCATGAACTTTCAACAAGAAAGCAATAAATTAATATATTCTAGTCTATTCCTTATTGTTATTGCAACTGCTACTTCAGTTAGTGGGAAGGACACACATGAAAGAGCATCCAAACTGATACAGCCAGTTTGGGAAAGCCTGAGGGAGTCATTCCAAAAGGTTGAGAGTAGGAATTGGGCAAACGTGAGCTCTTGTTCAGCCTGACAGAAGCCATGCTCTAAATCTTGGGAGAGTGTGAGGTGAATGTTGAAAAACACTAAGGGCAGTCCAAAAGTTAGGCCCTAGGTTCAGGGTTAAGCCTGACTATTTAGACCAAACCTGGGGAATTTATATCTGTATACACATCCAACAACCAAGTAGTCTTAATCAAACATGGCCTCTTCTAGGATAAAGGAATAGAGCAATTAATCCTCCAGTGGATATTGTCAGAAGAATATTCAGTAGATGAATAAAACGATTCCCTCACCATAGAGATCACTATTTTACAATTCATCACCAAAGGAAAATTACTTGGAAACAAAAGTAGTAGAACACTGCATGGAAAACCCCTGTGTGATGCTTGCCTCTGCTCTCTCAGTGACGTGGATAGAGCCATTAGGTGGCTTGTTCCACTGCAAAAACATGACTTGCAAGATTCTGTGCGATATGAAAGATTTTGACCCAACCTGTTCATAATGCAATGCAAAACAGTAGTCTTTTATTATTTACAACATGCTAGGTACTGTATTAGGCTCTTTATTCCTATGACCTTATGTAATCTTCTTAACAACTTCTGTTAGTTGATCATACCATTATATTCCCCACTCTACTAAGTCCCAGCAGGGTTAATTAACTTGCCCAAGGTCATTTAGCTTATCTGTGGCAGACAAGATTTGAAAGCAAATTGATCTGACTCTAAATCCTTTTCTCTTAATAAACTCGATAATGCATGCCTCTGTCCACAAATGCCACTTAACAGAAGAGTTACATGATAAATTTATACCCTGTAGAGTTGAGACTAATATGATATTCTAATATTGAAAGTATTGCAAAGCCCTCTAATTAGTCATAGTCCACATATTTGCTTCAACAAGTCCTTGGGAGTCAGCATGTATTCTCTATTAAACCTAGATAATTAGGTGCCTACTGCACAGAGTGAGTTGCTAAGTAATTACATAACATGTAGTGTAAGGTACTGCAGATGCAATTTTGCCAGTGGAGCAAGCTGCAACATTTTCTTTGTATTAAAACACCCATAAAATAGTCACTCATGGCTGCAAAATTCAAGGCATTTACCAGGATAATTTCCATGGAATGTAGTTGGAAAGAGGAAACTAGATTAATAGATGACTGATAGCATGTTGTTGCAGAATTTGGTAACACAATCCAAGACTGTGCGACTGAAAGAGCTTTTAATGATGCATTCAAAACTCATCATTCAGGGACTGATATCCTTCCTTGCTCCATTTGAAGAAAGGAAGACTCAGTGCCTGGATTTTAAAGTTATTTTTAA